TTACAGTGAAAGCAAAGAAGATTTTGTAGTTTTTGAACCAAACTAAATAACATTAAACCCTTTTTTGATTTACGGTATTTTCTCATTTTGATGTTTTGAGGTCTTTTGTGTTTAGAACAATATATACTAATTTTTAAAGTATCAAATTGGATTTTTGTTCAATAAAAATCTTTCAAATGCGGCTGTAGCTTTTTTTTCCCCAAAACTTTGTTTTCAAAATAAGGGTGCATCTTATATTCAGAAAAATATGGTATATGTCGGAAAGATTCAGAGTAAACTGTTTTTAATTGTAAATTTAATGCCATTTAAAGACACTATTAGTGGTATTTCCTAATTTATGGCCATATTAATCAATTACATTAAATTAGTTGATTGGATAGTATTCCTCAAAACATTGTGCATACAAGCAAAAAAAAATTTTGTGGTGGGTACTAACAGTCACTTTTCTTCTAGTCAGCAGTTCAATAAGAAAAAAAAACTTTGGTAGCAGAAGCAACACAGTTGCTTTCCCTATAGTCAGTGGTTCAGGATTGGAGACAGTGACAGATAGCCTTAATAGCTTTACCTTAACAAACACACGATGAGCAAGTTTGGTGTCAATGGAAATTGAACTCAAGACTCTTGAGTCATAACCCTACCCAACTCACCAAAGCTGAACAAACTAAATTGAAGTAAAAATAAAAAAACACATAATAGCAGTATTTCAATTACTTTGTTTTTTTTAATTTGATTGTTTTAATCTTAATTTCAATTAGTTAGTTGTTGGAATAATCCAAAACAGTAATAAATGGAAACACTAAATTTCCATTAGTTAGTTAGTTTACATGATACTAACTGATGTAATCAATTATATTAATTAAAGTACCCAGCTTTACACATGTTAGCAGTTAACAAGTATTGGCTGTGGTGAGTTGCAGAGTAAAATATTGTTTAATTTATTGTGTCTTACAAAAGTCGACCCTTCACCTTTCAGCCAATCAACCAAAACATATAAATTGGAGGCAGTAGGTTTGGTTTAAAAGGTGGAATGACAGTGGATGGATGCTATATGCTCTGTAGAAACAAATCCTCTGGCAGAGAACAAGTGAGAATCCTCATTTAATGAAAAAATTAGAGCAACATTCCTCCACCCAGTGCAAGTTACATCTATAATTTAATTTAAAGCAAAATATAGCTTAAAGAATATAAACTAATAACATTTATCACAATTTACCCTTTATGAAGCAAGGTTTGCCTTTTAAAAGTGCTGGAGTTTTAGGGTTTCATGTTTTTGTCAAAATTAGGCAAACTCTTCCATAAGTTTGTAATGCTGAAATTATAAAACTTTGGTTGAAGAACAAATCTGGATGTATGCTTCAGAAACTTAAACTTATTTAAATCTAATATTAAAGTTTGCATTTCCAAACCTCTTATTCCACCCTTCCTACAGACAACTGTCAATCATACTATCTAAGCTTTTAAGCATTCTCAACTGTTTGAAACGTAATACAGTCCTACCCTGCATTCTTTTCGGCATGTTGATACCTGTTCAGTAGTAAGGGGTCTATAAATATATACACAATTCTGCAAATGAGGCCTTACCTGTCTTTTACAGCTGTAATAACCTACTTACTCCTAAATATGAAACTTATAAAATATAGACCTTAGACAACTTTTTTTCTTTTTTTTTTAACAACATCAGTTCTCTTGTCAAGGTGAATTACTAGTCACTGCCCTGTGTTGAAATTGAATTTTCATGTCATTTAAATACATCTGAGTAAGAGAACTCAACAGCATATCACCTGTGTTATTACCATTGGTTTGTTTCCTGCTTCAATCAGTACATGTGGAAGTACCCAGGGGATTTTTCCAGGAAAAATGAACGTTTTATTATGTGTATGTACATGAAGGTACAATCTTAGCGTGTCTGAATACTAACATAATATTATGATCATGAATGATAACTTTTGTTGTTATTTTGTGTGTGTTAAAGATATGATTTTATTGAACATGCAGTCTTTAGACTAAAAAGTGATTTTCACCCAAATCTTTACTCCCATCTGCATATACCCATTAATGTATTTGCAGCTTACAGTTTCTATCTTCCTGTCATTTTTGTTTGATATTGAAAATAATTTATTTTGTTTTTTCTAGTATATTATAACATTTCGAAGTGAGTTTCTAATTAATGATTGTGTAAATTGTTGTTGTCCTTTTTTGTTGCAATATTTATATTTTCTAAGAAATGAAAGTATGTTGAGCCCTCTGAATATAGGTTCATTTGTCACAAACACATAGTATCACAGCTTCCTGTATGAAAGTTATTTGTAGCTGTGATTTTCTTATTTAATAACTTAGTCAATTTTTAACTTCTGTAGTTGTATTCAGTACTGCATTTTAATTTTATTTTTAGATTTTCTCTCTTCCATGGTTGTTTCAGCTTTTGAAGAAAGATGGTTTCTTTGTGTAATACACAATTCTTCAATAGTTTATAAATTGTTTTGTTTGTTTGGGTTTGGAAATTTTAAAAAGGATAAACTAATAATTAAGTGTAAAATATCTTGCCAACAATTTTTAACGAAAGTTTGTTCAGGTCAAATTCATTACTAGGAAAATTACTTGAATCAAATTGAAACTATTATTGTTGCCCTCTTAAGTACTGCTAGTGTAAATATTTGTGGACACACTTATTTCAAATTGCTATTATTTAAAAATTCTTTATTAACAAGTTCATTGTTGTTAATTTCAAATTATTTTAACATTCTTAGGAGAATTCATGTACAGCAAAAGATAAAGTAACTGGCCATACATGTGCCTCTTGTCAGCTACTATGACAGAATGTTCCCACATCGCAGAATGCCTTCTCATTTAACAGTGCTTTACATTTACAGTATTGTGAGTCTTGTTGCCTTGTTTCATGCCACTTTAGTAGCTGCAGAAGTTGTTGTGGTAAGTTAATGTATCAGTTTCGACCATGATAGTGTGACTTTGTCATATAGGATAAGTGGGATTAGAGTCCGCTGATATTATTTTGGTGAAAAGTATCAGGTCATTTCACTTTATTTTTATCATTGTTTTGTTTTCAATTTACTTGTGTAATAACCTTTTTATAAAGGAATTATGATGTGATGTACTACAAATAGAAATGTGAATTGCAAAGATGTAATAAATCCTATTTTTCTTTTTCACCAAAGTATATAGATATAAGTTACATGTAAATTTGCTTAGAGTAACTGGAGAAAAGATTTTAATTGTTTAAATTCAAATATTTGTAAACTGCAAATTATTCTTAAATAAACCATGAGATTAAGTTAAATGACTAAACCTTCAATATTAGATAACTGTCCATTATGATGAGAAACCCTGAAGATGACCTAAGAAGGTCAAAACGTTGGTTTTGTACTTTATTTTAAAATTTTTAATACCCATACTAGCCGTCTCTGCTATACATCTTTAGATAACTGTGTATAACAGTGTTAAATATATAATATTTTATGTGAAATTCATTAACACATACAAACAAAAATTTTATATATATTCTTTTTATAATTTTTCTTGTCACTGCTGGTACTAGTATAAATCTTTAGAATCCAAAGTCTGGTGTAAACATTCATCTTTGTGGTTTGTGGACTTTTATACAGTTGTATGCTTTATTATTTAAAGTATCTAATGACATTTAGTTTTTGACTAGCAACTCTTTTTATATGGGCATTTTTTTATTTTTCTTAACTTTTATAGGTTTCCCCCGAAAATCGTACTGTTCAAGTATTTATTGACTATGAATTGAGCATAGCAGCTAGAGTACCCACTGGAGGAATAGAGGTAGTTGATAAATCAAACAAATCACTGGTATTGAGAGTCTTAAAGAAAGAAAGTTATTTTTATGTTGGTTAAGTTTATGTATACATTTGTTATTGCCTTTTATATATATATATTATATACATACATAAAATATGTATTTGTTTTACACTGAAAGTAGAAGTTGTGTAGTTTTGTTTTTTGCATATTCAAATTAAATCTAACTTTGCATAGTAAAGAAGAAAACAAACCCTGTTATTATAGTCTTAATTTTAAGTAAATAAAAGTCATCTATAAAGAAGTTACCAGCATCAAATGTGGAATTTAACATTGTCACTATTTGTTACTAATAATATGTTTGCATTTTGACCTGTTAAATATTTTAAAAAAAAAATTAAAAAATTGTACAAATTAACATCTCTACCTAAACAAGGATATACATTTCATATGTCAATTTATGACTTCAAAATTAACAAAAACCAGTGTGCTAAGTCTAGCTTCAAACTTGGATAATTTCTAACATGCATGTTATAAATAAGTATCAAGGTATGCATCCAAACAAGACCCGTGTCAAATCAAGTATTTATATACAATAACTCGAAGATAATTCGCTTAAGTAAGAAAATTGCTAAAAAATAAAATGTTATCTGTCAGCTGAAATCCACAAAGTATGGAATGGTAACACTAACAGTAGCTAAGCCTCTTCTTGTTTTCTTCATATGAAAGATGCATTTTTATTTTGTGTGAGAAATATCTATGTGAAATATATTACTGACAGTTTAATATGTGCTTTTTCTTTCAAGGATATGATTCTAACAGTTAAGTATTTACAGGCTTATGATTCTATTAATGCTTTTTAACAGAGGCTGTTATTAGTTTGTAGCAAATATATGGGTACTGATAGTTTTTTTTTATTGGGTACACTTTTCTTTTACAGGGCATGATTGTAACTGCCAATCCTATAGATGCTTGTGACTCTATTTGGAGCCCACCATATTCTTCTAATTCTTCTTTGAAATGGTTTGTTTTAATTGAAAGATCTACTTGTTCTATGCGACAACAGGTAAGAATTTTGTGTATAATCAAAAATCTGAACATAAACAGTGCATGTATTAAACACAAGTACACATACTTCATAAATCTATGCATAGGCATCATTGTTCCTTTACTCTATAGTTCCGAGTTTTCTGAAAATATTTATGCAGTTGTTCTGAACATAAACATTGTGTATTTACTCCATATAAGCTGAACATGAGCATTGTATTGTTACTCCATGTAGCTGAACATGAGCATTATTTATTTACACCATGTAATTGAATATAAGGATTGTATGTTTACTCCATGGAGCTGGACATGAGAATTGTGTATTTCCTCCATGTAGCTAAACTCTCAACATCGTGTGGTAGTTAAAGTCACTAGTGGTTGGATACCATGATTAACATTTGAGGAGCTCCAGGAAAACCAACAGAATATCCCAGAGTTACCATAGACATGTCTTGCCATGCAGCAAGGTGAGGATGTATGTAACCTGTGGTACTGCAAGACAAGCAGCTGTGAATGCAGAAAGGTGTTTTGTATTCTTGTTATAAACCACTGAGACATGGTTTTCAACCTGTGTTGCAGCTAGTTTGAAATTTTTCTGGGTAGAATATTTTTCAGACTTTGCACAATGCAAGGACTAGAGGCTACCAAATTGTTACATGCACTTGTTCTATCATATGGCAGTGGTTTTATTGGCTGTATTCAAGTTGAGACATTAAGTGGTGGTATAAACATTTTATGATGTGCTTTACCAAGAGGAAAACCCAGCCTAAGAAAGTTAAACTCTAGCAGAAAATTATTGGTTCTCCTTTACAGAGAATATCCCTGCATATCACTTGTCTTATTCTGGAAAACAAGGTAATTGATATATTCTGGTCATTAGCGATTATTTCACTAAGTGGATTTATCCATTAGTCGATACTTCAACAAACTCTTATCACTGATATGTTGGCAGAACACTGAATAGCCCAATTCATCACACTTAAAAAAAAATTCACATGGATCATGGAGCTAATTTTAATAGCCAGCCATTCTCTGAGTTGTACGAAGTGTTGGGTGTGGTGAAGACAAACACTTTGCCTTATCATCCCCAGTGTCATGGTTTAGTAGAGCAAGTTATACAAACTGTCAAGCAGAGTTTATTCATCCTGGCAGAACCAGTTGGGATAAATACTCACCATACATCTTGATTGTGTACCACACAATGCAACAGAGATCAGCTAGTTGTTCACTGAAGATATTTATGTTTGGTTGTAAAATACTGCTCCCTATGAATGTCATATATGGTTTGCCCAAAGAGCAGAAGTGCTGCAGTATTTCCAAGAAATTTGTGGAGTGATTAAGGTCTGCATTGGTTGATGTG